GCAGGTCGAGGCTGCGGTGGCCGGGAGCGTGCCACTGCACTCCAGTCTGGGTGACAGAGTGAGACTCCAACTCAAAAAATAATAACAACAATAATAATAATAAATGGTGTGCAATAAAGACATTTTAAGACAAAGACTGAGAATGTGAAGCCCTCAAAAACTTTCACTGAAATGTCACAAAAGGATATATATTCATAAGACTAAAACGAAAATAAGAAGAAAAAAGTGAACTGCAAGGAGGAATGGTGAGCAGAGAAATTTCTAAGTGTCAGTAAATCTAAACAAGCATTCAGACAACGATGATGCTGTTGATGCTGACGGCAGCGATAATGGTGACGATGAGGCTTAATGGGGTTAGAAACAAAGTGAAACTAAAATACTGGACAGAAATATGGGAGACTGTGGAGAAAGAAAACCAGAGTTAACATGTGCTAAGTTGATCTATTATTCAGAAAAAGTATGGTGAGGCAGATTTACTGTAGACTTAAGAATGTTTAGAAAACATATCAAGAGGTAACACTAAGAAGTTTCCCAATTAGTGGGGGCTAGGGAATAAATAAGATAGATAAAATAAACAAAGCTACCGTTTGTGGGGTTTAAATTGGTCCAACTTCTTTGTTGAGCAGTTTGGCAACAATTAGTGAAGTTCAAGATGCACCCACTCTGTGACTCAGAAATTCCACTTCTAGGTATCTACTCCAGGAGGTGTGCATAAAACTGTCCATGGCAGCATTCTTTTTAATATGGAAAAGCCTAAATGCCGATTAGCAGGAGGATAGGTAAATGAATTGTAATATATTCAAGCAATGAAATAGTATTCAGCAGTTAAAATTCATGAAGTGGAGCTATGTGAAGCAACATGGATAAATGTAAAAACAAATGAGAAAAGAGGAAAGTTTGCAGAAGAATGTGTACTGTACAACACCATTTAGGTAGACTTCTAAAGCACACAAATCAAAATTAGGTATTGCTTGTGGATACTTACATATAAATTAAATTTGTAAAACCATAAGGAGGGCTACCTCGAATTAAATATGGTAAGTTCCAAACAGTTGTTAGATTTCAGTCCTGTGCACGTGGATATTTGTTGTGTTATTCTCTGTACTGTGCTTTTCTGCATGTTTTAAATCCTTTTTTTTTTTTTTTTTTTTTTTGAGTTGTACTCTCACTCTGTCACCCAGGCTGCTGGAGAGCAGTGGCATGTTCATGGCCAACACAGTCTCGACCTACCTGGTTCAGGTGATTCTTCCATCTCAGCCTTCCCAGTAGCTGGGACTGCAGGCATGTGCCACCACATCCGGCTAATTTTTTGATTTATTGTAGAGATGAGGTCTTACCATATTGCCCAGGCTGGTCTCAAACCCTGGGCTCAGGTGATCCTCCCACTTCAGCCTCCCAAAGCGCTGGGATGACAGGCAAGAGCCACTGTGCCCAGCTCATGTATTTTTCTTTTTAATGAAAGATCTAGGCATTTAGAAATCAGGGTAAAGGGGGATAAATGGCAGCATCAGTCCCCAGAAAGGATGATCTCCCGGGATGGGATTAGGAGGGAGGCTAAGTCCTGAGTCCAGGGATTACAGAGATTAATTCGGATCATCCTCTAGGCTGATCACCTGGCTGACATGCCCATCATTTCTGGACATTCAGAGATGCATTCCTGGACCACAATTCACCCCCACATATCTCCTAAGCTCTTTCCTCCTGCCCCTCAACTCACTCCCTCCACCCTCAATCCAGGATTGGTCAAGTCAGGGTTTGACCGAGTTTGGCTGCTGAGAACAGATGGTTCAGGTCTCCCTGAACGTCAGTCCCCAATTTAAGGATGAATGGTGACCCTGCACCCCAGAAGCCAGGGAGAGATTACTCCTAATACTGAGGGCCAGAGTTCCCCGTGGAGAGCTTGGGCCTCTGGATGTCACAATGGCCAACTTTCCCTGGTGCCTCCCGGCATTCACCAGGAAGTCAGGAGTCAAGGTCCACTGCTAATCTGACCCTGCTGGGAGGCAGATCTGGAAGGAGTTGACTGGGGCTGAATGCACAGCCATGGGGCTTCCAGAATTAGTCTTTGCTTGTCCCCAGAGCTCTGCATCCCCTAAACCCCCAATGCCAGCCCCTTTCCATCACTCCTGACAAATGCCCTGCTGCCTAAGGATCTGCAACAAACTCTGTGCAGAAGATGTCTGCGGGGGCTTGTTCAACTTTCTCCATGACTGGATCACCGGGGCCACAGGATTTGGAGTGGAATCTGGGAAGCAAAGGAAACATCTGTCATCTCTAAGCACCAGGGAATGGGGGGGGAAGGGGGGCAGAGAGAGAGAGACTTACGGGCTACGTTATCACTAACAGGTAACATCGAACTCTGCAGATAGGAAATCATGTTAACTGATAAGATGGCTGAGAGATTTATGAGATTCACTTATTCATTCTGTGTGTCAGGTACTTTGTGAGATGCCAGAGACAAAAAAATGACGGAGACCTCCCAGTCTTCAGGCAGCTGTACAGAGAGAACTTCGACAACCCAGAGGACTGGTGCTGCCACAGAGACAGACGGAGAGAGCCCAGCAGGGTGTCTAGTGGGAAGGGGTTAGGCGTCAGGGAAGTCTGCTTGGAGGTGACCCTCAACTAATTGTTGGGGGAAAGAAGGATCTCCAGGCAAAAAAAAGGGGCTTCTTTCCAGTGGAACATGAGGCCTTGGGAATCTGGGACCTGTGGGGTGAACATACACAGCCCATGCCCTCAGCCTGTGAGCGACATGCAAGAGAAGGGACTGGCGTGTCCCTGACTTAGGAGTGCCCCAACAATGTTCTGGATATGCAGAGGAGCCCCGGTTCCCAACTGTCCCCACTTCTATCCTGGTTGAGACCCGCAGAGATGTGAAATTGCCTTGTAAAAAACCAGTGCCCAGCAGACATAACTTAAACGAATGCGGGAAAGGTGTAAGAAGTGAAGTCAGTCCTCTGAGCTTCCAAATCTCTCTTCTGTGAGAGTGAAAATCAGTGGCGCCCACTCTGAGCAGGCTACAGTGGGGGCGTGGCTCGCAGCCCAGTCGGGGTGAGACCCCGCAGGGCGATGGAGCGACGAGGTCTTTGGCCCCGAGGGGTACCACCGAGGGCCCCTCCTGGGAGGGTCCCCGGCTGTGGCTCGGTGGGGGTGCGGGGAAAGCAGCGGGTCAGGGTCTGGCAGCTCGCACATCCGGGCCTCGCGCCGCGGAGGCCGCCGCGGAGGGTTGGGCGGCC